ACTTACCCTATAATGCCAGTCTTTTGTTGTTTAAAGAAAAAACAATTTTAAATTTGGAATATGAGGCCACTTTCTTTAAAATAAGGGTAGCACTCATTCTGGAGCTAAACCTCTTATTTGAAGTCAGAAATGAATACTCTCAATTTTAAGAAAACGCACAGATAAATATAAAATTAAATCAACTTATTTCAGAATTCACAATATCTACAGACTTACATGTTGAACCTTTCCATATTTCCTTGTATTAAAAACTTTTTGTATAATTACTTTTATCAAAATTATAGAATTATGAACATAGTATTATGAATATTCAAAATAAGAAATAGAATAGAGATATCTGAGAGAAAAGAATACCATTGAGAATAAATAGTTGAATGTTTAATTATTTAGAAACCATAGATTGTTAATTAGTACTAATTGTTAACATTTGCTAATTTTTTAAAAATTTAGTATAATGATAAAAGAGATACAATTTAATAAACAGTACCTTTTCTTATCTTTGTACCTGGCAGAGGAGCAAGAGAATTTTTTTTTTATTTTATTGCCAGTTTATTTATATTCTATGTTGTTATTCCGCTGTTCCATCCCTTGCTTGTATAAGTCACGAGATCTTGAGACCCTTCTTGATTTGCCCCATGACTTCTTGGAGTGATATGGGGGAGAAAATCACTTATCCTCCCCTTCAATTTTCTTTCTTTTATTTTTGTATCTGAAAAGGGAAATGGCAATAACTTTTTGTGTCTTTCAAGTCTATTTTGATGATTGATGATATGGCATCCTAAATTCCTTGAAAGAAACGTGATAGATAAAAGTCTACGGATAATAGAGCCAGATTATAAGTAAAATTTAGAAACACAAACAGAATTGGAAAGGTGAAAATACATTTCAATAGGAAGGTCTCAGCTCACTATTCAAACTTATTTTGATCTGTAAATTGACTTCCCTGTCCCTCACCTACAACAATTACAGGTCTCACAACCACAGCTTGTCTCATATTAAGTGTACCTCCGAGGGGCTCCGTTTGCTGGCCTATCCACTGTCACTAGCTGACTGAACATTAAAACTCACACCTGCTGTGGAGCAGCATGCTCCCTAGTCCAATCGCCAGAGCAGAAAAAAAAAAATAGCGACACAATAGCACCAAGGGGAGCCTTTCTCCACCTGCAGTCTAATTGCCTCCAAGAACCCTTGAGGAAGTCTGGAACTGAACATTGTTCAAGAAAGACAAATAGAAAATTAGGCATGTTTAGTTTCAATTCAATCAATTCCTTTAGCTGTTACAGAGATGACTATATATACATGCATACATATATAACTACACCCCCCCCCACACACACACACACTTTTTTATTTTTACTTTTCTAATACAGAGTGTCACCATGTTGCCCAGACTGGCCTCCAATTCAGGGGCTCAGGAAACCTACTGTCTCAGAATCTTTGGAAGCTAGGTGTTAGCCAGTGTGCCTGCTCATCTCCACTACCTCTTTATGATCTAATGATAATTCTTGTCCTACTGTAAAGGAGATGGGAGGATTTTTGAATATTTTTTCCTGTAAAAGATAGGTTGGGCCTTGAAATTTGGCAGAAAACAAGCATGATGATAATAGCTGCTTTCTGTGTCTTGTTTTGCTTTAGATTGTTTTCTATTGAGTTTGGAGGGAAGAACATCACTCAGTTTTGTGACATGTCATGGGGAGCCTAAGAGTAAAGAGTAAACATTAAATGAAATGTCAGGACAAAAAATGGGAAGTGAGACCAAAGTTTGATACAAGGAAGATCATAGATGGGAGAAAAGGCTGTTTTATAATAAAGGGATCTTTGTTTTTTGCACAGAAAAGTGCTGCTATTAGGAGATAATGCTGTTCAATTAGTTCATGTATGTGTACAAACAGCCACAAATTTTTGGAAATCAACTTTGCTTACAACAATTAAGAGAAATGTTATATTTTCTTACATGCTTTTTTGGGGGGGCAATACTGATTACATGAATTCTTTGAAGTTTCACTTTTTTGAAGTAGATAACTGAAGAGTGAATACATTTGACATAAAAATAAATTTAGATGAAAGTGATGAATTTATACAGTACTTAAATTAGGTATTAGTAAGTCATCATTAAAACATAATAGACCACCCCTGTATGTTCTGTGTCCACCCCAACTTCTGGTCTGTTTTAATTTGTTTCCTCTGATAGCACAATCTCCAACTTTCACTCTAAATATATCATATATATCTTTTGATAAACTTTTCCCACATTCGTGTCCCTGCCACAGCCCTTCAAGGTTAGTGAGCTCTTGAGTTATACGAACACATGTGTTTTAAGACTCTCTTAAGATGCCCAAATTTATGGAGCCAGACACTTGGTTCCATGTGATAGTGACTCCTTGATCTGCAAAGGGAGGTTCTTCATGAAGAGTGACGCATCTTTCCAGCCTATCACATTCCACGGCCTTTTTTTTCTTCTCTCAATGTCCCATATATGCAATGTAAACTTGTTTGTACATAGCGTGACCCTACGTGATCCTGGCACTAAAGAAAGAAGCAGCAATGAGAGAATCCTGACAAATCCTGGCAGCATTCAGACATCTTTGTTCACTGCTTTAAGGGAAATGTTTTGAACCCAATCCATGAGTCAAAGACAGAATCACAAGTGCATGTATCACAAAATGGGAGACAAATATCTGTTGTCAAAAATATTATCTTGCAGAAACCCTGATGAATCAAATTTGTAAAATCTATGTCCTATTTTCAAAAAGCCTGGATCCTTGAATAAATGAATACATATGCATAGAAGCCTAGAGAACAACAAAGTCTGTAGAGAATTATTAGTGAAAAATTTTTAAAAACTCCTTTGAACTTTGTTGTATTGTTTTTGGCAACTAAAAAATCAAAACTTTCTATTTTTAAAACAGTTTTAGATTCATAGAATATATAAACAAATTTGATCCAGACTGTTTTGTATATATTAAGGCCTTTCCTATCTTAATTTTTTGTACTGACTTATCTTTCTATTTAAATTTAAGTGACTATCTCTTTTTTATCATTTGTAGTTAGTTTTTTTTTATTTGTTGCTATAATAATTTATCACAAAGAATGATATTAAACAACACATATTTGGGCTGGGAATGTGGCTCAATCGGTAGCGTGCTCACCTGGCATGCGTGTGGCCGGGGTTCGATCCTCAGCACCACATACAAAGATGTTGTGATCGCTGAAAAAAACTAAAAAATAAATATTAAAATTCTCTCTCTCTCTCTCTCAAAAAAAAAAAAAAAAAAAACCAACACATATTTAATACCTTATGATCCTGTAGGTCAGAAGTCAAACATGGGTCTCATTGGTTCCAATCAGTGGCAGCAAAGCTGTGTTTCTTTCTGTGGGCTCTAAGAGTGAATTGGTGTTCTTGCCTATTCAGGCCCCTAGAAGATGCTTGTGTTCCTTTGCTCCGAGGCCCCCGTCCTCTGTCTTCAACAACAACCTTGCATTTATCTGAGCTTTTTCCCTGGTCAATATATCTTTCTCTGACTCTGCTCTTCTTGTGCTCCCTTCCACTTTCAAGGACACTAATGATTTCATCGGTTCACACCCAATAAATCAGATTAATACCACTCTTTTAAAATCAGCAAACTTCATTCAATCTGCAAACTTAATTTCCCTTTACTAGGGAAAATAACATATTCACAGGTAGTATATTGAAATTAGGACATGGGCATCTTCATGGGTTCTGCCTACCACAATGAAAAGTAAACGCCATCTCCCGAGAGGGAACTTTATTTATGCAAGTAAATTGGTCCTTATGTATTTTTTTGTATCACATTAGTTTCTTTAATTCTTGCTCCTATCAGACATTGGACCTGTTTTTAATAATTAATTAATTTCTTTATCTAATGCTACTACTGGAAGATGTGATGTATAAGAGAAGGAATCCTATCTAGTTTCTGTGCTCAGGATCCATCACACAGACTCACCTCAGAAATGGAGTATTGTCTTCAATAAATAATTATGTAAGCTTGTCTATGTCAGAAAGTCTTTCAGTCTCTTCTATTGCTCATTCAGAATGGCTGTTTACCAGACGGGCTGCATAACTAATACCAAAGGTTTTATCTTTGCTCCTTTTATTTAGCTTCCTTTCCTCTTTTTTGTTTAAATTTCTGAGTTTTCATTTATTTATTTTGAAATGTATCTTATAGAAGCTTCAGGGGAAAAAAAAAGAATATGTAAAAATCAATGTTCATTTTATACTATATGGCTGACATTTTCCAAATATCTGAGTCCTCATTAGAATTTAGCTTTATGGTCCTCTAGAGAATAATTAAGGTAATATTACTTCATTGAACTTGTTTTTCTATTGAATTGGAAACTTTTGGTCACTGATCTTAATGTATACAGGTAAACATTCACATTTGTTAACTATCTTTTAAAGTTTTATTCCTTTCTAATTGTAATTTAATTCTTCAAAATAAACAATTATTTTTACCATTTTGTGATCACAATTTATTTTAATGATTAAAGTTACATTTTTTCCCAAGTGAAAGCAATAAAGTGAATTGACTAAGATGAAAAAATAAATAGAAAATTATACAATATAAACATGTGAAATTGCTTTATATACATCATTAAGTGACAGAGAAGATGAAACAATTATTTAAAAATTAGAATATTTGAAGTAAAAATGTTTAAGAATATCGAGATTTAATGTTATAATATTTAAGTTGGTATTTATAAAAGTATACTCCATGTTTAGAGGTTGTTTCAATGGATTATTAATAATATATTTTCATAGAGAAATTATATTATTTTAAACTTTAAGAAAATTTATAGTAAGTGTAGTATACATTATGTCCACAGATACAAATATGTTTTATAATGAAAATAGCAGCTTAAGAATTTAAATAATATATGTAATATGGGCTATGGTTGTAGTTCAGTGGTATAGTGCTTGCCCATTATACATTAGACTCTGAGTTCAATTAAAAGTACTGCAACAAAAAAGGGGCGCGCTCCTGGGCCGGCTCGCATCTCCGGCCTGAGTGTTTTAGGACAGATCAGACAATTTGTAACAATGCCTGAAATAAAGACCAATCATCTAGATGAGAAACAAGTCCAACTCCTTGCAGAGATGTGTATTCTTATTGATGAAAATGATAATAAAATTGGGGCTGACACCAAGAAGAATTGCCACTTGAATGAAAACATTGACAAAGGATCATTACATCGTGCTTTTAGTTTGTTCTTATTTAGCAGTGAAAATAAGCTTCTGATACAGCAGAGATCAGATGCTAAAATTACCTTTCCAGGTTGTTTTACCAACACTTGTTGTAGTCATCCATTAAGTAATCCAAGGGAGCTGGAAGAAAATGGTGCCATTGGTGTAAGGCGAGCAGCACAGAGGCGTTTGAAAGCTGAATTAGGAATTCCTTTGGAAGAGGTTCCTCCAGAAGAAATGAATTATCTAACACGAATTCACTACAAGGCACAATCTGATGGTATCTGGGGTGAACATGAAATTGATTATATTTTGTTTATGAAGAAGAATGTAACTTTGAATCCAGATCCCAATGAAATTAAAAGCTACTTTTATGTGTCCAAGGAAGAACTAAAAGAACTTATGAAAAAAGCAACCACTGGTGAAATTAAGGTTACTCCATGGTTTCAAATTATTGTGGACACATTTCTCTTTAAATGGTGGGATAACCTGAATCATTTGAATCAGTTTGTTGACCATGAGAAAATTCATAGACTGTGAATGTGTAAATGAATGATTATTGAAAAATTTCCTTACCTAGTAAACTTAGGATGGTTTTATTGTTGTTTTAAAATTGGATTCCCCATTAGGACAACTTTTATGATATTTGGATACATTACAACCAGAGTTTGTGTGTGGGAATAAAATTCAGTTGGCATATAATTTTGTTACACACCCAATCTACATGCACTGTTATTTGTAAAAAACATTTATGAGAGAATTGTAAAATGAGAGAGCAAATAAAACATGAACTGTCCAAATACATGGTTATAACAAATTGAAAAAAAAAATAAAAGTACTGCAATACATACATATTGTATATTATATATATAAAACATATATTATATATATATATAAATAATAAAGTAGCTAAATGCTCATTTATATATAAAAAAATTAATGTGCCACTAATTTATTACAATGCAAGACCATTAAAGCAATTTTTAATTTATTTTTATAGTTTAAAAGACAATTAGATTAAAACTTATCAAAATATTAAATTTATGTGTTAAACTTATTCATACATGTATTTATTGTAATTCCTGAGTAAACAGTAAAATAAATTCCGAATATTTCTTTAAGCTTTTTGAAGTTGAATTAACCTTAAAACATTATTTTTTTCTACAACACAGACAATAATTAATGTTCCTAATTTGTGTATCTTATTTTCCCCCAATTTAGTTAACTTCTGCTTGTTCAATGAACCAAAGTAAGATCTTCACAAATAAATATCAAGTAAACATAAAAATGGAAAAACAAAGTTAATTTGTAAATGTTTGGTTTCCTCTTTATCTAGTTCTAGGGAAATATATAATATTGATTCTGTTATTGAAGATTCAGCAGAATAAAGTTGAAAACTAATCTTGTAGCATTTTGACTTTAATAACTTTTATTTCATAGTCAAAGCTAACTTGAAGAATCCGGTTGTGAAGGACAGGTATAACTTTGTTGAGAGACTCTGAAAACCTCTTCTTTATTTTGTGTTTCTACACTGACAAATAGTAAGATAAACAATGTAGGCATCAAACACATCTACCTTCTTAGAGCTGCTTAAGGGCCACAGAGAATAAAAATGAAAGAAATGGGAAAAATAATAGACGGAGACTCTCTGGATTCCTTCTTACAAGATAATGTAGCATAGGGAGAAAGAGGATCACTTTACAATGAAGGTGAACTCTCAGAGCAAATTTTGTAAACTTATATCATTCCAGGCAATTTGAGATAATGCAATCTTCAAGTATGAATAAGGTAATTACTGGATATTCAGTGACCTGTCTGTCAGAAAATCACTAGGTCAATCACCCAAAGACTCAATAGATTCACAACTGTTTATTTATACCTGGGGCAAAAATCAGAACAGTAAGAAATAAAAAAATAATAATTTTAAAATAATAATAAAAAAGGACATAAATAAAAAAATACAGATGCTCATTTTCTAGTTTTTAGTAGTGAAAATTTTCAAAGCCATTAATATAAAAAGAAGTCATGATGAAATTTATTTTCACACATTCTGTCACATAAAATCAGAATTAAAAACAAAAAAATCTATTTTTATAACTCAAAGCACAAATTAAATTAAATGCTTTCTAAATTTTTGATACAAATTTATGAGGATTTTAGTTTGTAAAAAGTTCCCAAACAGTTCATGAGAATTAAGAATCAAAGGGGAGAAAATATGGAATTTACGCTTCATTCACATTTTTATTTATAATGAGTAAGCAGATGAGGCTGAGGTATAGAGGACTGAGCCATCTCTAGATAATGATGCAATATGAAAGCCTGTCATGCAGTCACTCTGACACTTGGTTTATAATGGTTAAACTAGAAAATGTACAGAATACATAAAAATGTCATTTCCCTCTTCAAGGATATTTTCCATATGTGGTAAATGAAAAACAAAAACAAAACAAACCAAAAAAAAAATCATCATCCATTACAAATGGGAACCCTAAATACTGCATTATGACTTTATTTTATATGCATAACTTTCCCTAATGGCTTAAAAATTTTTGGAAGAAAAGATATTATGCTCATAAAGAATATGTTTCACTTTCTGAACAGACTCAATTTCCCCTACATGGGGTAGCCAATTTTAAATGTTTCATCAGCGATTCAATTTAATTCAACAAAAACTGAAGTCATCATCTTCCTTCCCATAGTCCTGATCCACTTTCATGCTTCCTGTTTTACTTAATGGTATCATCATTCACCCAATCAACAATTTCAAGATTGTGGACTCTTCATTAATTTTCCTTCTCTCTCATCATGTCAGCAAATCTTATTGGTTTCATCTTGACAGAGTATTTAAATTTCTTTCTCTTTCCATTAAGACAACAATATACAGGCCAATGTTAAAATGTGTTTATTTTACAAGTTCATCACCAGCCCTGGCAACATAGTAAGACACTAAAAAAAAAAAAAGATAAAAGAAAATGTATTTATCTGTCTATCTATCCCAAAAAGTGCGATCTCAGCAGAATTTATATAGTTTCTCTAAAGTATGGCTGCATTAGCTGAAGTTGAAATACAGCTATTTGTAACAGAGTCCTAAATGCCATCTTTTTCATAATGAATAATATGGTGTTCCTTTCTCTATTATAACTGGGATAATGTTAGCACTTCCCTCAAGGCAACCCAAGTAGCCTGCCTCTTACTACCTTTACCTCCTTGATGCATAGTATCATAAGATGGGGCTTGCCACTTTGAACATGTTTATGTTAGGCAGTTTTCTGTACTGTAACAAAACACAGTGGGTAATCAATTAAAAGGAGGAAATGCTTATTTGACTATTTCAGAGGTTCCATTCCATCAATACATATGGGTCCCATATCAAATAACTGACCTTCCTTAACATTCCAGTACTTGATCCATTCAAAATGCATGTGAAAAGTTCTCCTCTCATATGCTATTGTATAGAATGCCATGAGATAATTAATATAAAGTGCTTAAAAGTGTGCATAACACAAAGAATTATTTCTTTCACTCTCTTTCTCCTTATTGTTATATTATTATTACTGCTGTTATTATTTATCATTTTATTATTATTATTACTTCCTGAGGCCTAATAAACTATTGCTGTATTTTTAAAATTTCATTGCCTATAGGGCAGGGAATGCCCACATATCCTTGGCAAGTTTACTCTATATCATTAGCATAGGCTGTTTGGCAGAAAAAAATTACGTTGAATCTTTGTGAGAAATTATTGAAAACTTCCAGGTATACCTGGATCAACTGAATAATTATAACGGTAGCTAAAGATGTGCACAGGCACTTGGAAATCGTGGATTGTCCTTTCTAACGTACAGCCACCTCCAAGATGCTCTAGAAATTAGAAAGACGCTTGAGCATTTCAATTGCTTTTCTGATATTCTTCCATGAAATTGCTATGAATCTTATTAACATTCCCCCTTTACCTCATCATTGCAATTCCTGAGTAAGATGAGAAGGGCAACCTGACAAGAACTAACTGTGACCAAATGGCACTGCAGGTGGGCAGAGCTTGGTCTTTTTGATACAGAATGAAATAACAGAGGCAAGGTGAAGACAAGACATGATTGATTCTTTGGGGAATGATCTAATATTGTTTGTATCTCTTCTATTATTAAATGAGACAAATATGGACATTAATTCATAGGCTTAATATAATCACTAGATTCTACATGTAAATTGTGTATCATTATGCCTCTTACCTGATAAATGGGGTAATATGCTAGGCAATATTTGAAAAAGAATGAACTGTATATAATTGTGTGTGTTATAAGAGCTGAGAAGATGGATCAGAATTCCTCTTGAAAATGTCCAGAAAAGGAAGGCTCCAAAATCATTTAGGAAAAAATATCCTTCTCACCCCTCTAACCTGTGAGGGGACCAGCTACACTGGATGAAACAACAGTCACTGTCCTTCAATAGGTATCTAGTCTCAGTAATTAAACTCACGCTCCACTGAAGGCAATTCAGCAAGCAATAAAGCTCATGAAAGAAGCCACATCATGTCAATAATTGCAGTTGTCCTTTGGATATATGTTCCTAAACTCTGGAGAGAAGGCTTTTTAATGAGCACTAGACTAAGGCACTGAGATGTTACAAATGTGGCAGTGTCTTGAGGGAGAAAGAAAATGCAAACGGTGAAAGATGCTCTGGGACTTTGAATTCAAACCCATCTGTGTCAAGAAACCTATAACTCACTGCTAAAGAGGAGTGGGGCAATTACTTGATAATGTAGAGAGCAACACTTTATGGTGGCAAGCACACACCAGAGGAAAGGGCGGAAACTTGGTTTTAGTACAATTTTCAGAGGTGCATGAGTTATCAGACAATGAGTACAACAACACTCAAGAAGAAGCAGAATATCATTAAAGTTCCTGAAGTACTGTCTTTGCCTTCCTTTGTAATCAGTGTCTTTGATGGATAAAACTATCCCGAATTCTCTCACCAAAGATGACTTTTGCAGCACAAACATAACTTTGTGCTGTTTTTGAGTTTCTGCCTACTTTGAATACTACTGCAATAAACATTCTTGTATAGGCTTTTTGATAAACATGTGCATGTATTTCTACTTAATATACAATGGTATCTTTATTTACATTTCAATTTCTGTGGTTTCAGCCAACTGAGGTCAAAATATTAAATGAAAAATTACCAAAATAATTCTTAATGTTTAAATTGTGTACATTTCTGAGTAGCATTATGAAATTTCATATTTTCCCACTCTGCCTCAGATGGGATATAAACCATTCCTTTGTTCAGGATATCCACACTGTATACACTATCTATCTCTAAGATGTTTAATAGTTTTGTCAGTCATCAGTTCGACTGTTGTGGCCTTACAATGCTTGTGATTAAATAATTCTTATTTTACTTAACAATGGCTTCAAAATGCAAACATAAAAATGCTGGAAATTCAGATATGCTAAATGGAATCATATAAATTTCTTCCTTTAGATATTGTCTCACATAATCATAAGAAAAAGGGTGAGTATAGAGTCTACAGTCACATAACTA